GGTCGGTGCCTAAAAAGTATCAAACTCGATACCCAGCCCTACTTTCTACTGTACATTAATTTGCGGAAGGGCAGAAAGGAGATTTGTGGGTATTTTTATGTGATTTTTGTTTCTCTGTGATGTCTCCCTGGTGGGACTTTTACAACTTGAGAGTGAAGTGAGCGTGTTAAATCAGCTGCAGTGTTTCCTTGCTATTAGGTGCTGGGTGGATGAGGAGCTTTTTTGTATTGTTTTCACATTGCAAACGCATCTAGCTAAATTATTATTGTCTCAGGTTGTGGAAACTCTGTAATTATACTGATCAAAAATTTGGAGGTCAGTATGATTTTTAATGTTTTGAAAGAAGGCTCTTATGTTCAGAAAGGCTGCATTAATGTAATCATTGTGACATATTATTATAATTTAACTTTTTTCTAATTTCATATGCTTTAATATATAATTTATTCCTATGATGGCAAATATTTTCAGCAGCCATTGTCTGACGATCCTTCAAAAATCATTGTTGAAAACAATTGTAGTGCTTGTTTACTTTGTTTGTTTTTGTTTCTTTGTTAGTTTGCTCGGTCCGAGCGTTTAATTATGCTTTCCTACCTGCCTGTCAACGTATGTATTAGCATACCTCTGCACACCCAGTTCGCGCAGACAGGATACTCATCAGCGCGTTCACGCACGCTGTGCAGACAGAGAGGGTGGGACGTTCGCTTTCAGTGCTATCAGGCTAAAGTTAGCATGCACCAAGATCTCCTATTGCACCTTTAATGCATCTTTAAATAAATGCAATAAAATTCTTAATTTCTTTTTTTTTTTTTTTATTAATTTATTTTCCTTAAATTTTTGAATGTATATTATGAACAAATATGAATTAACAATAAACAATAGTATAAATTAACATTAACCTAGATGAATACATTATTAAAAAATAAAAGAACTACCTAGTGCATAAACTAATGTTAACAAACTGAACCTTACTGTAAAGTGTTACCAGTTTATGCAAATACTATGCACGCAGTCCTACATTACAGTCAAAAATATGGGGAGCAAAATACAATACCCACACATATACAAGTGAAATTTGAATAGTCAAAAAAATGTGATGTCAGCAATGTTCCTAATGACAAGTTGTCATCAAGATGAAATGACTTTATTTGCCTCTCAGCATTTTTCACAGCTTGGTCAGATCGTGCCCTCCTTTGGGAGCTACGGATGCACGTGTGCCTTACACCTCAAGAGTAATAATACAGACAGGGTTTGGTGTCAGGGCATTAGTATATATACAAGATGGTTTCCTCCGTATAAAAGTGCTCAGCTTGCTTTCAGACTTATTTTGGGGCATAATCTTGACACACGAGTCTCTAAAGGAGAAAAGAGCTCTGCGCTGTGCATGTGTTTCTGAGAGCATATACAGCTGTCCGTCACCTGTTTCTTGATCAGGCTTTTTGCAGCGACTGCTTTGTTTATTCAGGCATTTATTGATGAAACGAACTTTCCATGATGAGTCTACAGTCCTATAAAAAGCAGGAAGGCAACCGGTGACCTCTCTCAATAACTCACTCAGCACTTCCGCGCTCTTACGCCCTTTTCTCGGCACCTCCGCCATTTGTTCTCAAAGTGCTAATTTGCAGATAATTAAGTAATCCACTGAAATGTTATTTGTCCCTCTGGGCACTATGCAAAGCAAGGGGGTTGCTATATTCAGGGCTGACTCATTTGTAGTTCCCTCATGGGAAATATCACATAATCAAGCAGACACTGTATTAAATAATTCCTCTGAGCTTACAAGTAAAATTGTGCAGATTTTTTTTTCTTTTTTCAATGACCGCATGACATGCATGTGCACTGAAAAAAATTGGTGTAGAAACAATTTGCATTTAAAAATTGCTTGTAAATTGAATTGAACACATTGAATTAATTCATATCAAGCCACCTTTATTTATATAGGGCTCTATACAATAGACATTGTTTCAAAGCAGCTTTGCAGTATCAAACAGAAAGTAACAGAATCAATCATTCAAGCTTTATCAAATATGAGGCAAATCCAAATAACAAGATAATTGTGTCGTTATTTAGCTCCAGTCAGTTCAGTGTTGACTCAGTTTGGTTTAATAACTGCATAAAGTTTATCAATTATAAAACAAGTTCAATTTAGCAATAAGCAGCTTTACAGACGACAATGGTGTCATTATTCAGCTCCAGTCGGTTCAGTGTTGATTCAGTTCAGGTTAGTAAGTGTCAAAACTGTGAGATTTGTCAATTATGAACCAATTCGATTCAGCTATAGCAGCTCTACAGAAGACAATAGTACCATTATTCAAGTTTTGTTAAAATTCAGTTCAGCTGTAAAGCAGCTCCGGTAAGACAACAATGTTGTTACTCAGCTCGAGTCAGTTCAGTGTTGATTAAATTCAGGTCAACAGCAATGATGATTTTGCAAAATTCGAATTATGAACAAACTTGATTCAGGTAAAATTCAATTTAGCTTTTAAAGCAGCCCTAAAAAGACAATAATGTCATTATTCAAGTCAGTTCAATGTTGATTCAGTTCAGTTCAATAACTGACCAAAGTTTATCAATTATGAAATAAGTTCAATTCAGCGACAAGCAATTCAACTGAAGACAATAGTGTCGTTTATCTTGAGTAAGTTCATTGTTGATTCAATTCAGGTCAGTATCAGGGTCGATGTTGCAAAATTCAGCAATGATGAACAAATTTGATTAATCTAGAAAGCAGCTCTACAAACGTGTCATTATTCAGCTCAGTTCACATTTGATTCTCATCTGATATGTCAGTGCCATCAAATCGATGAAAAAGTCTTTTGAACCCCAGCTAAGCAAGCCAAAGATGACAGTGGCTAGAACGTGAACAATAAAACCTTTGTCTCCGCTGATTGCATAGTATCTACTGTTTGCTGCATCAAAGTTGTCTGTGATGCCCAAGAAAAAGGCACAGTCACCTCTTTTAGCCAGTCGTTTGCTTTTCTTTCCCTTCGTCTATCCATCAAGACAGTATCTGTGCTTATCTCACGGTTCATCAGCCTCGTAAAACTCCCCCTTAAACAGCAGCCCTGAGAGTGTGCACTATTTTCTGCTGAGTTAGAGGAATCGGGCTGTTTGAAAGGCTCCTTCGCTCTGACTGCAGTCCAATCTGCGTGGAGCGTTGGGAATCGCTCGATTTGCTTGGCCGCTTTCTGAGCCTCAAACTCTGTTCGGTGTTGGTGGCCCTTCTTGGTGCCGGAGAGGGTGGAGATTGAGGGCTGTTTACTTGCTGACAAAGTTTTTCGATGAGAATTATTATAACAAGCCTAGGGATTTGACAGAGGAGCCTCTCTTCATTTAGTCTGAGTCAAATTAGTCTTTGCCACTTGGCACGACGATTATTGTACACAAGTGTGACAGATTCTTCTGGTTCTACTAAACAGATTTACTGTCCGTCCCGAAAATCTGATTATAGACACGTTTCTGAAGTGAAAATGGCAAATTCTTTTTGAATAATAAGTAAATAAATAAATTGCATTTATCATTACTCATATTTAAGCAAGATAGAAGATAGTGTTGTTGTTTTTTTTTTTTAAATATGTGAGACTGAGTCTCTGGTTTAGCAACAAAGGCAGCACAGTGTCACATAAATGCAGATCCAAAAGGTCAAAAGGGTCGTCAAAGACTCATTCATTTTTCACAAGACATTTGGGACGATGTTCTGTCTCTCACTGTCATTATTTTCAGGATGGATGGTTTGCAGTCAAGCCTCTGCTTAACCAGCATCTGTAACAAGCAGCTAGACACAATGTCAGACCCAAACACTTTATCACACGGATCATTATCTGAAGCTCTACATCTGCAACGACAACCAGACCAGACCGCATATAGGGAGCAAAGAAACATAATCTGATTTAATATGTCTATTATAAAATAGGGATTTATAAACTGGGGTCTGGCGAATGTTAATATTGATATACTGAATAAATGAAAACATTGTACAAAATTTGACATTTTTACGGTTTAATTTTGCTTTTTAAGCATTGGTTGGATATAATGAGATTCATCTCAAATAATTTTATTCTGTTGATAGATAAGATACAAAAACGATATATAGATATTTTGTTTATTTTTAACAGCCTTATATACAAATTTCATACATGGACGTATTGTATGATTATGATGTTTTAATTTGTAAATAGTGTTGTAAATGGAAAAATGAGCAGATTGAAGTGGTAAAAAATTAAAATTCAATTATTGCATTTATTACATTTATCAATATTAACATTAATTATTGATACATTGAATAAATAATTGCATTTATTACATTTATCAATATTAACATTAATTATTGATACATTGAATAAATAATTGCATTTATTACATTTATCAATATTAACATTAATTATTGATACATTGAATAAAAAATTGCATTTGCTGAATCTGACATTTTTACCGTTTCATTCTGCTTTCTAGCAATTGGTCATAAATATATAATAGATATTGTTTCAAAGTGGCTTTGTTAAACTGGGATTAATCATATATAAGATTAATCCCAAATAATTTGTCTTCTGTTGATAGATATATTACAAAAAAGAAATGAATAAATAAATACCATGTAAACAAACAGTTTTACACTACAGTGAATAATATAGATAATAAGTCTTTATGCTTGGAAGTATGTAAGTTTGTAATGTTTTAATGCATAAATAAAATTGTTTAAAAATATAATAACAATGTATAATTTAATATATAATAATAATAATTATAATGTATAAAATAGTGTTGTAAATAAAAATTGTGCAAAAATGTACATACAAAATAGGAAGTTACATCTATTTTTTTTTAATTGCTTGTTTTCGGAAGGCTTTTATGATAAATCATAGTTTCATTTTAGTTTTTTTGTTGTTGTTTTTTTTCCCCCAGTTTTATACGTAACATTACTCTAAGGCTGATGATACACGGGGGTTGCTCAAAAAGTTGCCCCTTGTATCATCAACCTAATACTGGAATGCTGAAGTATTCTCCAAAATGACAGCTTAAAAAATATATCAGCTATAAATTGTCTCTACTAGTGTTAAAACCAGAACTGGTCCCTTGTGTTGGTTAGTTAGATGTATTTTAGTATGTCATTGCAGAGGTCATGTACAGTAAATTTCCTGGCCTGCCTGAGAACTGCATCCTGCCTCTTGCTGAATCAATCAACCTGAATGTGTGGTATATAGACCGCTGTTGGAGCAATACTCTGACACACGTTCACCGTGGACGGGCCATGTTGAAGTCTTGTCACATATCCCTTGACAGTGCCGTGCTGCATACATTGCCTTCTGTGTAAAAGCTAACAGATCATTACCGCGGCAGAGAGGTCCTGACCATAGCACACAACACCCACCTTCCTCTTCCCCTGATGTCACTGTCATCTGTCACCCTGTGGGAGATAACATTGCTCCAGAACACATCCTGACAGGATCCTCCTGCCTTTGCGTGTAGGCTACTTATCAGAGTCTGCCAGACATTACTGCTCTTGACTGTGCATTCAGCTTGGAGATTATACTAGTAAACGATCAAAAGTCATAATGTTGCTAGTCAAATAAACTATAGCTTATGCATTTTAGTATTTGATGATGAAAAATCAGATGACTAAAAAATGTGAATGCTATAAAACTAATTTGTTAATTTACAGTGAATTTGTTAAAATACAGTAAAAAAAATAGTAATATTGTGAAGTATTATTACAATTTAGAATAAATATTTTCCATTTTATTATAAAATGTAATTTATTCATGTGATGAGCAATTATTTTAGTTTAAGTGCCAAATAGTACCTCAAAAATCATTCTAATATTCAGATTTTTGTGCTTAATTTAAGTAATGAATATTGCTGCTCAGTTCTTAAAAATAATTCTTATTAACAATGTTTTTTGTGGAAATAAATATTTCTTTATATTTAAAAAAAATTATCTTTATTTTTAATAGTTATCTTTGATCAATAGAACAGTTTAAAAAAACATCATATATTTGAAATAGAAATCTTTTGTACCATTATAAATGTCTTTACTGCCACTTTTGATCAATGTAATGCATCCTCATTAAATAAAAGCTTTATATATATAACAGAGTTTCCAAAAAAATATATAAGGGAGCAAAAACAAGCCCTTTTCATCGCTGATAATAATAAAATATGTTTCTTGAGCAGGTAATCAGCATATTAAAATGATTTCTGAAGGATGATGTGACTGGAGTAATGATGCTGAAAATTCAGCTTTGCCTCACAGGAATGAATTCTATTTTAAATATATTCAAATCAAAAAGTTTTCTTTTAATTGTTTTACTATTTTACTATTTTTCTGATATATATCTTTCAAACACATTAAAATAAAACTTAATTATTCCAAATGTTTGACATACTGTATGCGTATGTAGACTTGGAAATATTTTCCCTTCTGTAAAATTTATTTGTCATACCCCATGCATTTAAAATCCCTAATTATTAAGGGCAAAACTGTGCGAAGGACAGATGTTTACTTGAATTGTCAAATTTACCTTTTATCAACAGAATTGTTATTTTTCTCTTTTTTTTTCAGATGCAACAATCTTTTTCCCTCAATTTGATGGTACCTCTTTCTTGGAGTTGCTGTCTCTGACATCCCTGTTTCAGTCAGACATGCACTTTACAAGCCATTTCTCTGAGGACAGGAGGACCATGTATTTGACGATGAAGAGCAAGACACCTCATGGTACTATTCTCTACTGTGAGTATCTGAGTGCCACTGGAGAATTCAGCTCTCAAAAGACCCCATGAAATCAAAATTGGAGTTTTGTGGCTTTTAGTGCTTGTCTGGAACAGTAGCTTTGAGCTCATCAATATGCTAAAATGAATTTTTAGGATATGTACACATTAAAAATTGACTTTCTCTTCTAGGAAACCAACCTAAATATAGATGACTCACCTTGCACACAGGGGCGCATACTAATTTTTGTCTGTTAAAATGCAGTTCTCTCCTCCTAATACCATCTGTGTTCAACCGAGGGGTTGAGGGTTTAGCTGGTTAACATAGCCCATTTAACCCCTGCAGCTGTAAATATACTATTATGGAGCAAAAAGTACCTTTTATTATTAATGGTTATTCAAATATTTAGGTTCCTTACAAAATATAATTTTTGTGAGCATGTAAATCACAAATATTTTATCATATATTACACTACTGTTCAAAAGTTGGTTGTTTTCATGTTTTTTAAAGTCTCTTATCCTCACCAAGGCTGTAAATATTGTCAAATATTATAATTTAAAATAACTGTTTTCTATTTTAATATATTTTAAATGCAATTTATTCCTCTGATGGCAAAGCTGAATTTTCAGCAGCCATTACTCCAGTCTTCAGTGTCAAATGATCCTTCAGAAAAGCATTATACATGTTTATACATGTCATTTTACTGACACAAATTAATGCATCCTTGCTGAATAAAAGTATTAATTTCTTTTTTTTTTTTTTTACTTTTGAATGGTAGTTTATATATCAATAGCATAGCTACTGAATATTTTAATGTGCTTTAGAGCCGAGTAAAAATAGTTTGTGTAATGCTTTTTCTTTCTATTCTTGCAGATGAGATGCTTATATTTTTTAGGCTTTCTTTTTCATTTTGCTCCAGAAATGTATCAAATACAGTTTACCATGGAAACCTTGTTAAGTCTTCAAACATTTTTAGCTGAAAACTTGCACACAGACTTCATTAACTGTGCTAATTTCAAACCAGTGACATATTAGTCATAAATTATGTTTCTATGGCTACCTGCTCGTTTCCCGCTCCAAGATTAGGGTGAACAGCTGTATATAAATACACATAGCGTATGTAAGAATAATATTGTCAGCTTGATTTGAGAGGTAAGTGATTAATTTTGACATGACGTTCATGATATATTGGCTGTTCGCTCCTCGCGTGTCTATTGAATAGCAATCACATCCAAACGATGCAGAAAGTTTGACTCGATAACTCACACTCTATCTGTGTGTGTTAATGAATGATTGGCTTCCCAGCATCGCAGGCTGCGGATTACACAGTTAAGGCTTATCAGTTATAAGGCTGTGAATATAACTGTAAGCCTCAGCGCTAAATTAAAACGCCGGACCGTCGACTGTACCTCTTTATCCAGTAATGAAGTCCTCTCTCAGGACATGTTAATGACATAGCAAATGTCTCTAGGTGAAATCAATCACACCAGGATATGTGCTGTGGGCTGAATTTAAACTTATGATGGCTGATCCCATTAGCTAATTGGCAAACCCTGCTGGATGAAGCTCTTCAATTACTTTGTCCTAAACAAATATGGTCCCTTGGCTGGGCCGAACTCCAAATGAATGAGTATTTGGGGATTTTTTACCTGTAAATGAGTGAATTAGATTTACATTAATTATAATGTATTACAATTTTAAGTGGTATCGTTATTGGAAAGCAGGAATATATTATAAATGGTCCGTTTTGTTTTATTAAACGTTGCCTTGCTGACAAATCTCTGTTGTACTCGAGAGTTCAGGTTTTTTAATCAACTGATTGACATCATAATTGGCTATACATATTAACCATATGTCCAGAAGCACTCGTTGTCAATCTGGTACCTTGTAAACAAATTTGTTTCCAAACAGATTGATTAAAAATCCTGTGTGCCCTTACTTCAGCAAGTCGGATAAAGTAAGTCAATGAGATTAGAGCTTGTCAGATCGAGAGTGTACTTTCCTGTTTGTCTGTTTTTTTTCTAAACAGCAGAAATCATACCTAAAATAGTTTAGCAAAACATGTAAAAAGGCTATTTTACCCCTCCCCCCATGCAAATGTATGCGATGATGTCACTAATTATGGGCGGAGCTCATCTTGTGGTTCTACTAATACTATCTGCTGTGTTATTAGAACCACAGGATATGGGCCCCTCCCACAATATTTATATAAAAAATACTATAATTTAATATTTATTGATTAGATTAGACAGAAAAGTTTACATGCTCAATGTCACAAATTATTATTTGAATAGTAAGCTAGAATATTTCCTCTTCATTTTATATAACTTAATTTTCAAATATGATTAGTAACATGCTGTGTTTATTTTTTTGTGTCTGTTGAACTTTTGATCACTTTTAGTTTTATCCAAATAATTTAAATTCTTAAAGTGGGGTCCAAAAGTCAGTACAAATGCTTATATTTTGCATTTTTTCTACATTTTATATAAAAATGTTAATAGAATTGCAACATAATATAATGTTTTTTTGTTTAAAAGGAGTTTGCATATTTTTTTCTTCATAAATTTAATAAAATCAGTGATAATTGTGTGATGATGTCAGTAATCATGGGCAGGGCTCATCTTGTGGTTCTAATAATAATATCTGTTGTGGTGTGATTATGTTTGTCTGAATATTGTGCTCATGCTGACTCACGAGAGGTTTGAAATATTGTCACTGTTTGAGTGTGAAGTGCTTTATCAGTTATTGTTTTACTGTCACATTTGCAGTCAACATTGTTCAAAAGTTTCAAGCTTATTACAGATGACTAAAATGCAGTCCATGTTACATCAGTAACAGCGGTCTTGGCAATCACCTGACATTTAAATAACCTGATAGGGAGATGAGTCATGTCTATAAATTGTTGGCACTAAAGGCAGAGGGGTTAGATGGACTGTCATCTTTGAATGAGATTGCTCTTGATGTCAAGTTAGAAAATTCATTTTACTTCCACCCTGTCAGATTAGCCGTGCATATGCAGCTCACCTGACATGGCCAATATGACAGTGTTTATCTCATGTCTCAACCTGTCAGAGTCCTCGTGAAATTCCTTTTATAGATTAGCCATGTAAAAAAAGACAGGGAGCAAGCATTTGGGTTCGCTGTCGTTTGGCTTGTGACACATTCATCAATTTTAGAGGAGGGAAACTGACTGATTTAATTAGAATGCTCTCCCAACCCGGCGTGAATGTGATTAGTAACTTATTTATTTTTCTGTGGCGAGTGGACTTTTGATCAGTCAATTTTATCCAGATAATTTCAATTCTTACAGTGGGGTCCAGTAGTCTGCATGAGACAACTAGTAAAAATCCTTGTATTTTGCTTTTTTCTCATTCTAATGCAAAGTTCTATAATATTTATATTAATTAGATTAAATTAGATTAGATTTTAAAAAAAATGTACATGGTCAATGTCACAAATTATTATTATTGGAATAGTAACCTAGAATATTTTCTCTTCATTTTATATTTTGTTAACATTTTCAAATGTGATGAGTAACATTATTTGATTATTATTTGAATAGTGATCTTGAAACAATACAGAATATTTCCTCTTCATTTTTTAAAATGAAGATTTAAAAAAATCTTCATTTTAAAGATTTAAGATTTTAAAATCTTGCTAATTACTTATAAAGCCCTGAATGGTTTAGCACCTCAGTATTTGAACGAGCTCTTAATTTAAATTCTTAAAGTGGGGTCCAAAAGTCAGTACAAATGCTTATATTTTGCATTTTTTCTACATTTTATATAAAAATGTTAATAGAATTGCAACATAATATAATGTTTTTTGGTTTAAAAGGAGTTTGCATATTTTTTTCTTCATAAATTTAATAAAATCAGTGATAATTGTGTGATGATGTCAGTAATCATGGGCAGGGCTCATCTTGTGGTTCTAATAATAATATCTGTTGTGGTGTGATTATGTTTGTCTGAATATTGTGCTCATGCTGACTCACGAGAGGTTTGAAATATTGTCACTGTTTGAGTGTGAAGTGCTTTATCAGTTATTGACTTAACTATTATCTAAAATATTAAATTAAAATATAAAAAAAATATTCAATAAAAAAAAAAATCAAATGTGATTAACATATTTTTCTGTGGTAAGTGAAATGTTTAATCGTTTTCAGTTTCCAATCCAAAAAAAATTTAAATTCCTACACTGGCTTACAAAAGTCTAAGACAACTAGTAAAAATGTGTGTATTTTACAAATTTCTAATTTGAATACAAAATTGTTAGTTCTGTATTACATTACATTACATACTCAGCATACTTAGTGAAATTCTCTTTAATTCTCTTAATAAATTGATAAATTCTCTTTCATTTACATAACTTTATTTTTAACATCTCTAACCTTTTTGAAACTTCCATAAAACTTGTTTATTTCCTGATTTAAACCCCAATATATTACAATGTTGTCTCAGTCTTTTGAACCCCACTATGTCTCTCTATAAATCTTAAAAGAAAAGGAGAAGCAAAACACCACTGGTATCTGATCTATAATGTAATAACAAATCGGTTCATTCTTCAATTAATATTTTTTTTATTTCGCCTGTCACTAAATTAACCTCTTGGGTTCGAGTGTTTTTCCGCTGGTGGATGATAATGCTCAGATGTATAGGTGTGCAGCCCAGATGAAGCTCTCTTGTCTGAATGTAGAAAAGGTAGAACTCTAGAGATCAAAGGAAGCTGATCAGAAGACATGCCTCAGAATGCAAAAAATGCTCAGAGTTACACCTGCATCTCATCTGTTCACTCCCTTCCAAACTAAACCTTCCCGCGAGCACCATGTGAGACTCCCGCTGGGCTTCAGTCATCAGCCGACAAGAGGGATTGTGAATATAACAGGTGACAGGTACTGACAAGAGAATGCACGCACCGTTAGACCCAGTACAGGGTAACAGGGCCATTGGGACAATAAGGAGTAATTTGTCATTTTCCTACACACCATCCCCTTAACATAAAAAAGACGAAGAACTACAACTGTAGTTGATGCAGTAGGTGCCAAGTGCATCTGCAATCACTGGGGCTGTTG